AAATTGTCATAGAAGCCTTGTCCGAAGTTATCGGCTAGTATAATAGTTGTATAATCCTGCTGAAACGACAAAACTCAATTTTTCTCATAAATATCACATTTGATTCAATTAATTTTAATTCAAATACCTGAGTTGAGCGTTCTACAATCGAGAAAAATATTCGAGTCTCAATCGAATAATGATATTTGGAATAATCCAATCCGAATTCAGCACATTGAACCTCTCAAAGGCTACCTCCACAATCATGTTTTAGTATATAAATCTTAGTTAAAACAAGATTCGCAACAACATCCCTCATTCCTAAAACATGTTTTGGCTTTCAGGTGGCACTTCGCTAGACTTTCTCATCAAATCTAGCTTCCTACAAAGCAGCCTTCTTGAAGAGCGATTTCGAGTCTGCCTCTTGGTTGCCTCGCCCACCACCATTTGGGGGGAGGTATGCACCCAGTTTCGAGCACTTGCATTGCCGGTAACGGGGAGCTGTGTAGTCAACGGTACATCACCTCTGAAGGTAGACAGCACAATCTGCATTACCTGCACAGGATTCACGAGCATCTATGGACAGATCACCTACAACCTTTTTAGTAAGAACTCGATTTAGAAATAGGTTAGAACCAAAGTGGGTTCAAGCTCAAGATGTATATTTTCACCCATAATTTCACTCCCCTGCTAGTTGGTTAGATAAATTACTCTCAATTTTATGAAGAATAAAAATCTGTTTCTACGATACGCTAAAGATGAAACAAAAGGGAATTGAACTGGGAAATTTTAGTGGTAAAGTAATCAAGACAGAAGTTTCCAACTCAAAATGAAAATGATATTTTTTGATTTTGCTAGTGACTGACCGCCAGAGATTGAAATAATTTTGACTTATCCCTTTAGTGGAACAACTTTACGTTACGGGGCAGTTGCTATCACTCTCATCCTGTAGACAAATTGGACGTCACTTGAATTCTTCAAGTGTATCTGGCCGTAAAAACATATATTATGATTTGCTCAGAAATCGCACTTCTCTGTGGCATTCTTAGTCTGAATTTTGACTGAACGGACGTGAGATGAAATGTTATTAGACAGAACTGTCACCTCATTGTAAAAGTACAAAAGTGGCGCTGTAAAAAATAAGAGCCATTCTGTAGCTGCAGGAAGGACATCGAGTTTGGGTCATTACCAAACAAGAAATTCGCATAGCTTTGCTTCCAAAAAAGTATTCTCATCCAGGGTGGACTTCAACCTTCATCTCATCAGCACCCTAGCGGGACTCGAGCCCAGGTAATGCAGTTTTTAATAGTGACTCGTTACTAATTACTTACTACACTGTCACGATGACCTCCGGTTAACAGGACATACATGAACATCAAGGAAGTCTGGACCGATTTTATATCACATTTTGTAGTGAGATAGTCATTAAGGTAGCTGTTAATTGCTGTAACAATCGACTACATTACTTATATTCGTATTGAGTATATTTTGAGCCTATCAATAGATCTTGAATTACAGCTTCATTACCCCTTTGGGATTTTTCAATTATCAGTCCTTTATTCACCTTATGCGACCTAGGGAGAATACGGCTTGTATGCCAGATGCAGTGGTAGTTTCCTAACTTTATAAATCGGAAGATTAATCATGAGATACCTCATTGTGTTCACAAAATTGGGTATTAAGATTGAAATTTAACGCAGTTGGCCAGGCTTCTTCATTCAGTGTATTAGCGCTTATAGCACTCAAAATAACTTCCACATGACAGACAGGACATTTTTGTACAATCATACAGTCTCAACACGAAAGCAATGTTTCGGTTACCTGTGAGGCCAATTCAAGAAAGCCTGCCAACCAAATTTTTCTATTAAATAAAAAAATAAAATCCCATCAAGTTATTAAGTGATCCTTTGAGATCCTAAATATTTTAATTTTGTTACTATTTTCTTTGTGGCCAAAATAACAATCAGGTGTTTGATAGCATTGCATAGCTGGTTAGCAAGAGAATTTCTGGGAGACATTGGAGTTAATAATAAACACACGTTTTCAATAGTCTGCAGAGAAAGATTATCTGTACGCCGCCTTAATTTGCGGGACATTCAGCTGTGTTGAATTGGTGTGGCTGAGAGCTGGCATGTATGCCGTTAAACTTTCACATGCAGGATTCCAATCCCGCCGAGCTTACGAATGAGCCGATAAGGCTAGCTGAAAGTTTAAGTCTAGATTGCATGAAAAGTTCAATTTATTGTAGCTCGTTTTAATGAATAAAACGTAATTTAGAGACTTCTATAAGGTACTTAAATTCAGAGTACTGGGACTCAGCATCACCTCCTTTAATAACATATAGAAAAGAAGCAAGTTAAAACAATTAGCCTCCTAATAGCAAGGAATTAATTCATGCTAACAGCTTACCACTAAGTACGCTCTAGAAAGCGGATATGCTCAAGATGGCAAATTGGATGGAATCAAGTCCCTCTTGACCTTTTCCAGTTCTCCGTAAAATGAGTAACTTGGTTGTTGCTAGCACTGACTTGAATTTCACCTTGAGCGAAGCTGTGCGATGAGGAGATTTTTAGCTTGATCTCAGCAATAGATGATGGAGGGTTCCTTTTTTTCTACGAACTTTCAAGTTGGCTCAATCCTCGAGTCTTTCAGTTCCGGTGGAAGAGTGCTGAACATGGTCTGCTAGAAAAGTCTACAGATATCACTAAAACTGGAGTATACTTTTCAAACTGTTTCATGTCAATAACACGTCAAGAAAACTACTCGATTAGACTTACTTCACTGTAGATACTTATAAAACTGATAGTAGAATTCTCCCACAATGATTTTAGTAGAGCTGAAGTTTACATTAAATTTCACATAGCCTTGCTTTCCCAATAGTTGTTCTCATGCAGGCTAATTTACAAAGTTAGGTAACTACCACTGCATCTGGCATACAAGCCGTATTCTCCCTAGGTCGCATAGGGTGAATAAAGGACTGATAATTGAAAAATCCCAAAGGGGTAATGAAGATGTTATTCAAGATCTATTGATTGGCTCAAAACATACTCAATACGAATATAAGTAATGTAGTCGATTGTTACAGCAATTAACAACTGCCTTAATGACTATCTCACTACAAAATGTGATATAAAATCGGTCCAGACTTCCTTGATGTTCATGTATGTC